TGTTATGCCATCAAAATTAGGTAAAAGAAGTACTAGATAACTAGGAAATAGGTTCAAAGACATAAGTAATTCTTAACATGGATATTGCTGTATTACAAACGAGGTACAAGAAGGTATATGTTTGTGGTGGTGGTTTGTTTGGTTGGTTGGTTGTTTTGTTTTTTAGATAGTGTTGCTTTCTGTAAGTATTTACCAAACAAACAAGAAAACTATCTCATTAGGAAAGCATCCGTAAAATAAGAAGAAAAATAAACCATGCAGCATCAGCACTTCAGTCTAAATAGCATGGCTTGGAGTTTTCATGCCACTAAATTAACATATCCTTGGAATGTGTCATAAATGATGAACTTCTTAAAAAGTGCTGCCTCCAGCACTTCTGGAATGCTATATTGTATTATTTTATCCTTTAGAAAATATCATAGAAGTAGACTAAAAAAAACATCAGTAGCAACTTAGATAAAAGTGATCGTGATTTGTCTCTGTTTGTTATATATAATCAGAATTAAGTCCAGACCAGTAATATGTATTCTTGATGGATTGGAGGAGCTAATTTTGCAAAGCTGAAAACAATTATGAGCTAAATCAGTTGAGAGAAAGAAGTTAAACAGGAAATATGGAAAATAGCTGGAAAGTGTTTAAAAACATTTTACCAGTTTGGGATAAAATACATAAAATAATTAAAAAAATAAAAATAAATAAAAAAAAAAAAAAAAGATGAAGAAGGAAAAGAAGGAAAAGAAGAATAAGAAAAAATGTAGCTGGGCTAACCTAAACGTTGACTTGGATAGAAATGAAAACAGCTATGCAAGTTATAATAACTGTAAAAAAGGCATTTATTACCAGTCATGAGTATTAGACCAAAGATAATAACTACAGAAAAATTGATGAGGATGGAATCAAGAAATTATTTTTGTTCATCAGAGTTAAGGATAACAAGAAAGATTTGGGGTTTTGACATCATGGAAGTGTAGCCATATCAAGAATACATGCAAAAATCTGTATGTTCTGTAAATAAATCTGATGTCTGGGAAAAAAAAAAAAAAAAAAAAAAAAAAAAGAGAGAGAGAAAGAGAAAGAAAAAAAAGGCAGATAAAATCTGTTCATAAGAAGTCAATGCACTGTTGTACATTCTAGAAGTAAATCAGGAGAATGTTAAATAGCAAATCAAGTCCACAGATCTGGATAATTTGCAACAAAAAGCTGTAAAAAAGTTGGCTGAAGAAATTACAAAACCATGAATAGTACTTTTTGCTAATTATGGGAACACTGGAGAAATTCCAACAGACGGGGAAAAAAAAAAAAAAAAGCCAACTTTGCTCCAATATGTTTTTTAAAGTTTATTTGCAACCCAGGCAATTACAGCCCTTTCAGCCTGAGCTGAAGGGATAAAATAATATAAAAGCTAACGGAGGATTCATTTAACAAAGAACTAGAGGCATGTAATGTAATTAATGCCAAGCAAAATGGTTTAACTGAAAATGAAATTTCCTGTGAGTATCCCTTTAAATAATAATAATAATAATAATAATAATAATTTAAAAAAAAAAAGTGTTTTGTCCTTAGGAGGTAAAGAAAGGCAAACATAGCCAGGAATGTATAAGACAAGATAGGACAGCAAAATACTTTCCTTCTGAGTCTCCAGAGAGAGAGAGGTTTTTTTATAAGAGACCATACAGATGTGAATAATCCTCCATGCAGAATAAAGCACTTTTGAAAAGTGGATCCTACATCTTTTGCAGCAGCACTTCAACCCCTGAAGTTGACAGAGTGTCTTTTTTTATCCCTGGTTCTTAATTTCAACTCTCTCTTTTCCACACCACTATTCAAGCAAGGTTTACCTGGCACTGAAGCAGGGAATAGAGGCTTTACTGAGCTTAGTATTCAGTTCACTGAGGAACTTTCAGCACAGAAAGGTCTTCTGTATTAATACACCTTTGAAAGGGTAAACTCCTAACCAGGTTACACAGCTAATAATTGGGACAACTTGCTAACTGGTTAGGGTTAACTATGTGTAATATTGGCATTGATTTATGACTGTCGGGTTCATAGGTTATTTAGATTGTTCAATTTAGAACTTTTACCCAGCTTTCAATTGAACATTTTGAATCAGGTGTTCAATGGATTGATCGATACAAAGTACAATAGGTCTCTGTACTGCTCCATAAACAAAGTTGATTTTTATAGCTTTTGTGTGATTTAAACCTTTAACACTTTAAACCATTCTGCAGCACTCTTGCCATGTAACCATATGCTTCTCTTCACTTTCCTTAATTCACATCAGATTGTGATTTAGCAACATGTAGGCCAACAAAATCCTCTGTGTGCCTTGAGGGCCTGATCCTGCAAATGCGTATGCATGACTGCATGCAGGTAGATAACTCTTTTGATCCCAGTGAGACAACTCATATATAAATCCCTGTTAAAGTGAATTAGTAGTAAGGGAAGGACTGACATTTGAATATTGAGCTTTGTGGTTAATAAGAGCCTTCGTAGGAGCCAGAGGCCAAAGGGAAAGTCAGGTCTCATATGTTAAATGTGACTTGTTCGATTTGCACATTTTTTTTCCCCAAATCAAATTCCATCCCCCAGAAATCAAGCTCACATCTCCACCTCTGAAGCCTGCTCCCCACTTCACAACTGTACATATCAGTACTGTACAGTTGGTAGAGAACAGCTGATGCCCACCTTCCAGCTGAATGTGATGCCTTGTTCAGGGAAGAGAAAACAAATCTTATGAGAGTGAAATTTGGATGCAATCCTGAGGGATACACAGCCTGTAGAGAACTGCTGAATAGCAAACTATTGTTCTGTGTCACAGTGCTTGAATGAACCCACTAAACACTTCATCCTCTATCGCATAAACTAGTCTACTGTTTCCTTACAAATATGCAAAGATAATGCTTTAAAGGTCTGGAGAAGGAAAGTTTCAATTCATGTTTTGGGAAGGACCTCATTTTTGCTTCTGCTTGGAGTACAGATGGCAGAGCAAGCAAATCCCAGTTCTTCTGTTTTGAAACCAGGGCTGCTCTCATGCAGGAGCTGAAAAGGAAAGATATACCCTCACTTTCTTTCCTCAGCACCATGTCACTGACCTCCCATTCACACATGCACACCCATCACCCTGTTCTTGAGTAAGTGTTGCTGGTCTGGCTGACCTTCACTGGAGATTTCTCTTGAATGAAGAGAATCTGTCTGACTAAATACCCCTCAGGCATGTGAAAAGCTTGTAGGGATAACTGATGCAGTCAACACATGGAAGAATTTACTGTGTTACCCTAAGGTAAGAAGCAGATCTTCCTTAAGCACTTAAATAGCTACAAATGCTTTCAACTCAGGACTGGTATAAGATAATAATAAAAATAACCAGTCCTTCTTCAAAAATAGCAGGAGGAAAGGGAAGGGGTAGCCCTCTGAGCTGTCACCACAATCCTCCTTTTATCTCACATACTAAAAAGGAATAGAAAATGTGAAGCAGTTGCAAATGTCTTAAAGAGCAAGTTAAATGATTACCACAGGCTGGGATCTTTTAGTATCTGTTGAGCTGAGTGTCACAGACTACACACATTTATGCATTTAACACAGCTTTAAATAGTATACATAAATGCATGTCACTGATCGGTGACATGAGAATGAGGCAAGTACTCTTACTTATAAAAATATCCTCCTTCTGTGTTGTTGTTCCACCATGGAAAAAAAAAAAAAAAAAAAAAAAAAAGCCACATTCTACATCCTAGGCCCTAGGACCCAAGCACCTTCCTTTAGCATCAGCCCCTGAGCATCAGCCTCTCTGAGAGGAAGAGCAGATTCTGGAACAAATTCATTTGTCTCTGGCCTCAGAGGCTGCAGTTTGAATGAGCAGCTTATTTTCTTACACCATCAAAACCTGCAAAAAGGAAATGAATCATGTTTTGATTTCTGCAAGAAGCTGGGGATTGTGCAGATTATTTCCTGCTACATTATAAGGAGAAATGCTTACTTTCATAAATAATGCAGTTATCTAGAACTGCAGACAAATAAAAGACTATCACTATCTACTAACTATCAAATGCAGAAACTGATATTTTTTGGTATTTTGATATTTTGGTATTTTGATATTTTTGATATTTTGATAATTTTTGGTCTCTTCTCCCACGTGCCTGGTGACAGGACGAGGGGGAATGGGCTTAAGTTGCACCAGGGGAGTTTTAGGTTGGATCTTAGGAAGAACTTCTTTACCGAAAGGGTTGTGAGACATTGGAATGGGCTGCCCAGGGAAGTGGTGGAGTCACCATCCCTGGAAGTCTTTAAAAGACGTTTAGATGTAGAGCCTAGGGATATGGTTTAGTGGGGACTGTTAGTGTTAGGTCAGAGGTTGGACTCGATGATCTTGAGGTCTCTTCCAACCTAGAAATTCTGTGATTCTGTGATATAATTTAACCAACTGAAAAACAACAAAAAAAATAAAAAATAAAAAAAATCTTCTGTTATGAAGCTACCTTCATAAAATAATAACTTGTTATGAGAAGTTGCTTTAACACAGCAGTGACATTAACAGAAGAACTGTATGTGTCTGGAATGAGATTTTACCTGAAATAATATTCAGCAAATGAAAAGAATCATTAAAATATATTTCAAGCTATTACTAGAACAATCCTTCCACATAATTTTTATCTTGCCATATTCTTTCAAAAATTTGGTGCAAATTTTGAGGGAGAGAGGACAGACAATCAAGAAACGGGTTAGCATCATAAGAAAATAGTTTTGCTACTGACTTGAAGATCCATAACAGGTTGTGGTGAATCTTCTCACGGTAACTGACAGTCACATCATTCTGTCAGAAAATGACATTAGCTGATGACAGCAGAGCTATTATATCATTTCAGGTGTCCCTATCCTAGCTTGACTGCAGCATGTCAGGATGCTCCTTCTAGAGCTACACTTATATGCTACATTTGTATAGTGTTTAGCACAGTGGGCTCCTCTTCAACTCTTAGGGATCAAAAACACTACAATTCTGATGATGATGATTGTGCTTTTCATTCTGGAAAAGGTTGCTAGATTGTCACTAAAAAACAAAGAGAAGTTACAGATGGAAAGAAGAAACAGAAATTTCCACAATCATTTGTTTCAAAACCCCTACAGAAAGTTCTCTCTAAGCTCCCCAGCCATACTTCTGCTAACAAGCTCATAGACACAAGTGATGCATTATAAGCATCACTGCCATTTTAGTTAAATTTTAGCTGAAAACAGGATTTAGCTGAAAACAATCTTACATATTTTTCTTTGCTTAGAATACTGCAATGTTTGATTTGAACTTTTAAAATCAAAACTGCTATAAGAAAATATATTAGACAATTTTTTTAATATATATTGATTTACAGACGTGCAGATGAAAACTATAATCAATTTGTCCCATCTGGAAATCCTGTTCTTGATCAAAGTTAGAATAAATAATAACATTTACTAATTTAAAAATTCACACACTGGTTCCTTCAAAAGTCTTTGTACAAAACAACTTCAAATGCTCATATCCCAAAGATCTTGAAGTTCACTTTTCATAGCTCGGTCATGTCCCTAAAAAAAAAAAAAAAAAAAAAAAAAAAGTTAATTAAGCAAACATGAGGCCAGCCAGTGTCCAGATATTGATTCTGAAATTCTGGCACAATGCTCTTTTAGAAACTCTTCATTATTAAGACACCATTGATTAAAAGTAACTGTCCTGCAGTATTTCAAATCTACTGACGTCTGTTATAAATTTCCCCTTTCTGCACTGGAACGAAAGATGCAGCCCTACACTTAAAGGAACTGAATTTTGTAGCCAGGCAATGTAACTTGCCAATTCACTTGATCCATAAAACATAATCTGCACACATGGACCATATTACAGGCATTTCAAAGGTGAATGAAAAAGAGTAGTCTAGTGAATAAGGAACGTAGGATACAGACATATCTTGCAAATCTTTTCCTAAACAAGTATCAAATCTTAAAATTAACCCATCATTGTACCAAATGGTCTCAGACAGCTACAAAATGATCCTACAATGACTTAAGCAAGGCCAACTCTCTTGAAATTCAGTCTCACAGAAGGATCTCTGCTATAGCAAAAATGATAGCTTATGAAGTGAAATGAAACATTAGCATGTAGACATAGACAAAACAGCCTGGGATGAAAACCTACATTAAGTTCATGGCAGCTTCAAACAGAAAACGTAGAGAAAAGTGAAAAGTCTCACTTCTAGTTACTCACCAGTAAGATGAAAGATCAGAGAAACTCATTTTCAAATGGCATTTTCTGGATAACAAAGAATATTCCAATGAGAAAAACAGCTGAGGGGAAAAAAAAAAAAAAAAAAAAAAAAAGGAAAATTTCAGTGAGAAAATAACAGCTCGGAACTAAGATTAAGAAATATAAAAATATGTACTATTGCTTTATAAACAGCACTGAAATCACTGAAATAGTTCAAGAAAGGAAGGTATTGCTAAGAAGAATGCATCTGCTGGATAAAATTCTGGATCATCTGATGATACACAAGAGCCACAAATTTGCTGAACCCAGGTCAGTCCTTTATTACGAGAGAAACTGTTTTGAGAACTGTAAAGCAAATGAATTGGTTTAGTATCTGGTAAGAATATCTCAATCCTTGTTTCCCACATGGCTTGCCCTTCACAGTGGAAGTGTTACCTTTTCACATACAGTGCAGAGAGCTTGAGAATGGCAATGAGCATCAAGCTGACATTTCTGTCAGTGGCTGGGTTTCCAAATGTGGACATGCAACCATATGTACATACACTAATCAAGGCTCCCTCTTTCCACAGGAGCCTGCTTAGAGAAATAAATGATAGTAGGTTTCATGCTATGTTGCTTAGGGAATAGAGAACAGATGGAGACAATTGAATTCCCAGGGCCTATGGCTGCTAGGGGATTTCCCCATGCTACTTAAGTCTTTGAAATAAGACAAGAAAGTTTTCTAAACCACAGAAAGAAAACTTTTACTCCCTAGTAACTTTTTCATTTATTTAGAAGACTCTTCCAGCAGAGAAAATACTTCTCTGCAGCAGAGATAATAACTGCCCCAGATCTGTGGAGAGATCCCGTGGTGTACTCCGTGGTTGTCCTGCCAGTTTCCTTTTTAGCTAAACCACAAAAGATACCAGCCATGAGAAAGCATATTATTCTGATGTTTGGAACATACGTGTGGAGAATATTAACTTGTCCCTTTATTGACTAATTACACCTTTTAATGCCAGTAAGAAAATGGCTAGGTTATGCACTTCTTCTGAATGGGATGGACTAGTAGAACACAGGACTTGTAAATCATCCAGTTTGGAGGGGCTTCAGCAGCTGTATGACTGCACAGATCTGCATCACAGTAGAAGTTAATTGCATTGTGGTTAGTCGTGTGAACAGAAACACATAGACAGTGCTTCTTTAGAGAAAACACATGTATTTTGACCATAGTAAATCTATTATTGATGACAGTTGACCACTGGATTGAAATATCTCACTTGATGAATCCCTGAAAGCCAACAGGACATGGCAAGGTAGATTAGTGATCACTAGCACACAGACCTCAGAGAAGCGTGGCTGTCCTGAGGCCGATGAGGTGATGTCTAGGGACACGGCCGTCCACACTGACTAGCTTCCTGCCAGGCAGGACTGCTGCACATTTCACTGTGAACAACTGCAAATCAAAGGGTGTAACAAGGAGGGGAATGAACACAAGTCAACAGGTACCAAAGCCTTATGTTTAGAGCCATAGGTCTTGCTTTCCTGCTCTGTTCTGCCTTATAAGAATGCACTAAGAGAACAAAGGAAGACAATGTTTAAATGATTATTTAAGCCATGGCAGAAGAAAAAGCAACCAAAGTAGTGCTGGGGGCCTTTTGGCTAACAAAGCAGTTAGTTGCTCTTTTGTTGACTCAGCTTAAAAGAGTGAGAAATGTTTGTATTTATTTTAGGAAAACATCAAAGCAGCATCCTTCCAATTCTGATCGTAGCCTTTGGGTACGACAGTGATTACTGCAATAACAGATCTCTTTTGATCCAGCTGAGCCAATAATGTTGAATTTACTCCCTGAAATACTCCCAGTTTCCCTGGTCTTTCTCATTCTACTCTGTCCAGTCAAAGGGCAGAAGGCAGTTGCAGCCCTGAAACTAAAGTTTGCAGTTTAAAATTATTGGCAGATTTTTATTTTTATTTTTACATTTTTTTTTATTTAATTTCTTTTCTTTTTTTCTAGGGACCAGGTTTCTGGTCCCAGTGCAGATCTGAAAGGGGGTGGGATTTAATTGTATTATAAACACCTCTGCAGGAGGAGGAGTGTGAAGAATATTCCAACATTAAAATACAATGTCTTCTCTATCTTTTCACCAGCACCTTCTCATTTGCTTGCTCTGGCTCCTCAGAATTTCTCTGGTCCTGCTGAATATGAGTGGATGCAGGCTGTGTCAAACCAAAGCTTTGAAATGGAGTCACAGCCCCTTCCTGAGAAGGCTCATCCAAGTGCTGTCTTCCATACCAGTCAGCAAAATCTCACTTTATACTCTGAGATTGTCTCAACTCCAGCCAGGAGCCCCAAGAAGAAGACAGTTCCCTAACACAAGTGATTGTTTTCACCAAAATCAGTGCAAATCCCAGCTTATGGCACAAAATCCTCTTTTTTTGCAGGTGAGGATAAAGATAGCACATATTCCAGGGGCACAAGATAGCGCACACATGCCTATGACCCACTACTGTGTCCATAGCCCTCCCTCCCAGGACCAAGCAGCAGTAGTCAGGGTCTGAACACTGGCTCTCTCGATGTGAAATTAAGCCAACACAGACAGGCAAACTTTTTGTGATAGAAGACACAGAGCATTTAGTCTCATGGCTTTCTCCACTCACAGGTAGTATTTATAGGATCGTCCCTCCTCCAGCACAGCCTGCCACACAGGTGTCCCCAGGGGCTGCCCAGCAGGGTGGGAGAGGAGGCCTGCAGGGACTAGGGAGATGGCAAGAGGTGGGAGCTGTTCATCTCCTTCTTTTACACTCTGGCCCACTGCACAGGAAAATTAAGCTGCACCAGAAGGCAGCGCATGAAAATGGAGAAGTATAAATTACCTCTTCCTTGCACAAATGAGGAGGGAGAGGCAAGACAAACTATGCTGCTCACAGGCCCAATTCCTTCCTTGTGTACTTCCTGGAGCAATGCAGTTATGTGCCTGCCTAATAGCTCAGCCTAGCTCCAGGTAAGCTGTCATTAGTTTTCTTAGAAAACGTCCTAGCAGTAAGATACAAAAAGTGGGTAAAATTATTCAGTCATTAGTACTGAAGAATGTATTAGTACCAAAGGGAGAGACGTAGGGAGAGAGGTGTGTATATATATGTATATATACACACATACACATATAAATATATGTACGGGGTATGCACACTCGCACATACACACAGATTCATAAAAATTCATAGATGTCATTTTCTGTAGGGGTTGGAACAGAAAGAAAAAAGAAGGGGGGGAGTATACGAATTTAATAAGTGCAGACATAATTGCCATGAGTAAATGTTAATGCATAGGGATGAACTTTTTTTTTTTACTTTATACATATTAATAGGCTTTCTCTTTCAGAAAGAATGACATCAGACATTGATAAATTTGACAGAAGTGAAAGGAAAAAATGGTCTCACTATTAGGAACACTCCTGCGGTGGTGTTGAACGGTGTCTTTGATACATCAGCCTTCAGTCTCCGAGCACATTCGTATTAACTCACGTGTACACCCAGAATTCAAATGAGATGCTTCTTTAGATGCTGACTTTTAGCAGCAGTCCCACCAGACATGTTGGAATCAAACTCACAGTTTCAGAGTGTGGTATAGTATAATTTTCTCAGTACAGTTTGTGCCTACTGACTCTCTCAGAAGATTAGAGAAAGAGGCAGTGTATAGCAGATCGTTAAAGAGCCACACAAGGCTGAAGGGTGAAAAAAATCTTCAATGAAAAACCTGCTCAGTGCAGACATTCTCCTACACTAAGAGATCAGTGCAGAGCTGTATATTTAATATTGCTGGAAACAGGATGGCAAATTGCCTGAAATGGATTCACTTAAAGGCAAACAAGGGCTAACCATTGATGTCTGAATACCTCAGTGATGTCTGAATGCTGGTACATTGCCACAACATGGATGCTCTTTATAACCCTTCAAGAAGCCACTGTAAAAACAGGATTACACACCTGCAATGTATGTGTATGTTTGGAAACATCATACCACTACTAAAACTGTCCATTGTGAATCTCCCAGTGCAGCCAGCATACCCAGAAATATCACATGACCTAAGATTCACAGCAAGCCTGGAAACAAATAAAAAGCTGAAGTCATGCATCTTTTCCTCATTAGCCCATTACTTTTTAAGAAGTAGACATTGGGAGGCTCAGTTTTTAAGATGCAGGTTAATACTACTGACACACATTTCTGAGCAGCTTCAAACCAAAATAAATAAATAAATAAATAAAAAGAGGGGGGAAAAAAAGGAATGTGGAAAAGGAAAGTGGAAAATTGCATACAGAGAAGAAGCAGAGATGAGTAAATATATGTGAGAGAATATGGATGCATAAGGGAAGTAAAGAAAATACAGAATGGTAAAATGGAAGACAATAAAAAAATTGTAAATAATTTGAGGCCACAGAGGAATGTATCCTGGAAAATTTGGTCCATTACAAAAAAAAATAAAAAAATCTTTTGAGATCTTGTTTTTACAGAAATTTTAATTACTCCAATTTTTATAAAATATTTTCCCTTCTACAGACAATAGGAAAAGCAAGATTATTTAACAAATCAAATTAAATCAAATTTTCAATAGCCTTCTTCCCCTCTTTTTTCTACCAGCTTGCAAGCTCTGCAGACACACAGACACAGAAACAGGATATAAATGTCTACCTTTCCATTCATCACAGAAAAAAAAAATAAAAGAAAAACTGGTCTCTTGTTTATTTTATTGTTTTGTTTCCTAGCAAAAGTTAAAAATATTTGTAGGTGGCTTTTTTTTTATTTAAAAGAAAAAAAAAAAAAGTCAAAATCTCGTCTGGTAAGCAAATGCTGGAAGGATAGGATTTATATTTTTATGTATTCTTTTTTCAGATGTTTATCATAAGACAGCTGGCAAATTAATTTTCATGTGTAGCCAAGGTGATGACTGCTAGTAAGAAACATCGGATCTTATGTGCAAAAACAAGCATTTCAGCCCACTAAAGACAAACAGTTTTTATCAAATCTATCATATATATAAGTCTCTCAATGCCTGCTATTGCAGCATGCCCTATAGTTAGACAATGTGATAATATTTCTGTCAGC